TGCCTGTTCTGCTGCTGGCATCGGTCTTCATCCCAAGACCATGTCTTCCTCCTTGTCTTTTAGATCAATATCCATCTCTTCAATAGAATCTTTCGTTTCCACCTCCATCTCTTCCTCTGTCTCGTACATATCCACATCCATCTCTTCCTCTCCAGTATCCTCTCCGTCCACTTCCATGGCTTCTTCTCTATCAGTCTGTGTATCGACGTCCGTCTCCTCCTCTCCGTCTGTGCCAGCCTGCAGAGGTAGCAAAATTTCCCAGCCTGTCCCACAGAGCTCCAGCCCAGCCAGGCAGCTGCGGGGTGTCCGCCTCCGTGGAATAGTACCATAGCTCTTTTGGAACAAATGCAGACATCCTGCAGGGATGGAGAGCAAAATCCAAGCGATGGGGAGCTTTGGGGACTGCTGGGGGAATCAGGGAGCAGGTGGCAACAAGGTGACAGGGGTAGGCTTGGAGCAGGGTGAATGAAGAGCGTGCTGGCACAAGGAGCCAAGGGTTGTGTTGTGGCCGTTGCTGGATGCTGGAAGTTCTAGCTGGAGCGTGCACTGTGACATCAGTGCCAGGAGTTCAGGCCCAGGCTGAAGTGGACAACGGAGACCATAGAATGAATGACGGAATCCCTGGGTGCTTGGGCTTGGAAGGGACCCTAAAGACCATCTTGTTCCAAGCGGAGCAATCTTCGCCCAGAATAGGTTGCTCAGAGCCCTGCTCCCAGCTGGCCTTGGATGTTGCCAAGGATGGAGCATCCCCAGCCTCTGTGCACAGCCTGGGCCAGTGCCCAGCAGCCTGAGTGGAAAAGAGCAGCTTCATTAGATCCAACTTCAATCTCACTCCTGCAGTTGAAAGGCTTCTCCCCTCTGTGCCCATCTTTCCTAGAGCTGCAGGGAGGCCTCGCCAGCCCCCTTCTCTTTCCAGGCTGAGCATCCCCAGCCCCACACGGACAGCAGTCCGATGCGTGGGAGTCAAGGCTAAAGGGTAGCAAATGGCTCATCAGGAAGTGAGAGATGGAAGCTTTTGGAGATGGAAGGTTTGCCTCTAAATGTAGAAAAGAAAGAAAAGTAGAGGGGAAAATGGTGGGACTCTGGCTCTAAGTGGCAAACATTTTCTTTTCTTCTTTTCTGTTGTGCTGCCCCAAGTTTTGTTGTTTGAAGTGCTGCCCCAAGTTTTGTTGTTTGAAAGGAGGTTTGGCAAAATATCCATCGTCTTCTCCACTGCTGAAACACTGAACAACATCTGGGCAGGCTGATGATGCAGAGCAAAACCTGCAAATATCTACTGCTGATCGTGATCCTGGGGAATGCAGCTAAAGCCAGCCAAAAGCAATTTCTGGAAAGTCAAGCCTGGTTTACGTTTTCTGGAGTTTGGCTGTGCCAACTTCACCAGTCATTTCTAAAAAAGGAAAAACAACTCAAAGCAAAACAGACAAAAACACAAAGAAACCAACCCAAAGAAACCAATCAAACAAACACATAAAACACCCCCAATCAAACCAAAGGCAATGAGAAGTTAGGATTAGTTGTAAGGATATCACAGCAGGCGAATGGCTGCTTCCTACTTGGATCACCATCCAAAGCCACCTAGAACAACTTCTCCAAAATATATTCAACAGGAGAAATCGAAAAAGTTGTGTCTGAGGGAGTGTGCCGGTCTGCGCTTGGGCGGTGGAAAGTGCGAGCGCTGCGGGCAGGCGAATAAGGAAGGTGTTTAACAGGCATCTGGCGCGTGAAGCTTTCAGACTGCAGGTGGAACGTAGCTGCCGCTCGCCCGCTTGCTGATTAGTCGCTAGTTGTCGTGTGGAAGAAGTACGGCCACGACTTCCTTCTGCTGCTCCCTACCGCTGTTGCTGCTCTCTGCGGCAACAATTGCGATTTCCCTTGGACTCCCAGATGCAGAGAAATGCCCTGCGCAGCACAGTAGGTTGTCACACCATGGGTGGAATAGGGTGCTGCAAATCCGTGCTTGCATCAGTGGCAGAGGTAAGCTGCACAAACATGTGCTGTCCTGTCACACGTTCTCCTCGGCAGACGCAGTGTAAAAGCTTTCCGCTTGCATTAAGAGCAAGAAAGGCAGAAGCCGGAACTTCGGAGCTCAGAGAAGGTATCGGCAAGAGGCGAGCCTCCCAGGTGTGCCCAGACGGGCTTGGGTGTGCCCAGGTGAGCCCATGTGGGCCCAGATGTGCTGAGATTTGGCCAGGGGTGCCAAGATGGTCCCAGGTGTGCTCAGGAGGGCCCAGGTTTTTATGGGTATGCCCAGGGGTAGCCGGGCACGCCCAGGTGTGCCCAAGTGTTCCCAGCTAAGCCCAGATGTGCCCATGTGAACCGATGTGGGCCCAGATACGGCCAGGTGTGCCAAAGTGGTCTGAGGTGTGCCCAGGAGTTCCCAGGTGTGTTTAGGTGTGCTTGGGTATGCCCAGGTGAGCCCATGTACGCCCAGATGTGCTTAGGTGTAGCCAGGTTGGCCCAGGTGTGCCTATGTTGGCCCAGATGTGCCCAGAAGAGCCCAGGAGTGCCTAGGCGTGCCCAGGTGTGCCCAGATCTGCCAAGATGTGCTCATGTGAGCCCATGTGCGCCCAGATATGCTTAGGCGTGCCAAGGTTGAGTGAGATGTGCCCAGGAGTGCCCAGGTATGCTTAGGTGTCCTTGGCTGTGCCCAGGTGAGCCCATGTACGTCCAGGTGTGCTTAGGTGTGCCCAGGTGTGCCCAGGTGTGCTTATGTTGGCCCAGATGTGCCCAGAAGAGCTTTGGTGTGCCCAGGTGTGCCCAGGTTTGCCCAGATGATCCCTGGTTGTGCCCTGGTGTGCTTTGGTATGCCCAGGTGTTCCCAGGTGTGCCTAAGTGTAATCAGATGTGCCCAGCTGTGCCCAGGTTGGCCAAGGTGGTCTGAGGTTTGCCCAGGAGTAGCCAGGTATGCCCAGGCGGGCTTGGGTGTGCCCAAATGAGCCCATGTGGGCCCAGATGTGCTGAGATTTGGCCAGGGGTGCCAAGATGGTGCCAGGTGTGCCCAGAAGTGCCCAGGTGTTTATGGGTATGCCCAGGCATAGCCGGGTGTGCCCAGGTGTGCCCAAGTGTTCCCAGCTGTGCCCAGATGTGCCCATGTGAGCCCATGTGTGCCCAGGTATGCCTAGGTGTGCCAAGGTGGTCTCAGTCAGCCCAGGAGTTCACCGGTATGCCCAGGTGTGCTTGAGTGTGCCCATGTGATCCCATGTTGAATCAGCTATGGCTAGGTGTGCCGAGATGGTGCTAGGTGTGCCCTGGATTTGCTAGGTATGCCTAGGTGTTCTTCGGTGTGCCCCAGTGAGCCCATGTGGATCCAGATGTGCTGAGATTTGGCCAGGGGTGCCAAGATGGTGCCAGGTGTGCCCAGGAGTTCCCAGTTGTGCCCAGGTGTGCTTGGCTGTGCGCTGGTTGACTATGGTGTGCCTAAGTTGGCTGAGATGTGCCCAGAAGACCCCAGGTGTGCCCTGAAGTGCCCAGGTGTGGCCAGGTGTGCCCAAGTATGATCAGATCTGCACAGATGTGCCCAGATGTGCACATGTGAGACCAGATGTGCCCAGATATGCCCAGGTGTGCCAAGGTGGTCTAAGGTGTGCCCTGGATTTGCCAGGTATGCCCAGGCAGACTTGGGTGTACCCAGGTGAGTCCATGTGGGCCCAGATGTGCTGAGATTTGGCCAGGGGTGCCAAGATGGTGCCAGGTGTGCCCAGGAGAGGCCAGGTTTTTATGGGTATGCCCAGGCATAGCGGGGCGTGCCCAGGTGTGCTCAAGTGAACCGATGTAGGCCCAGATAAGGCCAGGTGTGCCAAGGTGGTCTGAGGTCTGCCCAGGAGTTCCCAGGTATGCTCAGGCAGGCTTTGGTGTGCCTATGTGAGCCCACGTATGCCCAGATGTGCTGAGATTTGGCCAGGGGTGCCAAGATGGTCCCAGGTGTGCCCAGGACTTCCCAGTTTTGCCTAGGTGTGCTTGGCTGTGCGCTGGTTGACCATGGTGTGCCTATGTTGGCCCAGATGTGCCGAGAAGATCCCAGGTGTGCCCTGGAGTGCCCAGGTGTGGCCAGGTGTGCCCTGGAGGTTTCAGGTGCACCCAGGTGTGCTTGAGTGTGCCCAAGTGAGCCCATGTGGGCCTAGATGTGCTGAGATTTGGCCAGGGCTGCCAAGATGGTCCCAGGTGTGCCCAGGTGTTTATGGTTATGCCCAGCCGTATCCGGGCGTGCCCAGGTGTGCCCAAATGTTCCTAGCTGTGCCCAGATGTGCCCATGTCAACTGATGTGGGCCCAGGTGTGCCCAGGTGTGCCAAGGTGGTCCCAGGTGTGCCCAGGAGTTCCCAGGTGTGCCCATGTGTATTCGGGTGTGTCCAGGTGAGCTCATGTACGCCCAGGTGTGCTTAGGTGTGGCCAGATTGGCCCAGATGTGCCTATGTTAGCCCAGATGTGCCCAGAAGAGCCCAGGAATACCCATGTGAGGCCAGGTGCACCCAGATGTTCTCCAGTTGTAGCCAGGTGTGCATAGTGTGCCCAGGTGTGCCTGTGTAAATTTTCTTGGGCATTTTAAGAATTTGGTGGGATTTTGTGGGATTTTGAGAAGACTTGAGTATTTTTGAAGGTTTTTTCCTTCAATTTTGTGGACATTTGTGAAGATTTTGTGGAATGTTTATGGAATTTAGGAGGCTTTTAAGATTTAGGGAATTTTGCCGAATATTTGTGGAATTTTGTGGGATGTTTGTGGAATTTGGTGGAATTTAGTGGAAATTTAAATAATTTTTTGGGATTTGGCTGGAATTTTGTGCGATGTTTTTGGAATGTGGAATTTTCTGGAATTTTGTGGGATTTTCAGAAGACTTGAGTAATTTTGAATGATTTTTCTTAGATTGTGTGGACATTTGTAAAGATTTTGTGGGATGTTTCTGGAATTTGGGGGGGTTTTGAGAAGATTTAGGGAATTTTGCGGGATATTTCTGGAATTTTGTGGGGTGTTTGTGGAATTTAGTGGGATTTGTCTGGAATTTTGTAGGATTCTTTTGGAATGTTGTGGAATTTTCTGGGATTTTTCTGGGATTTTGAGAAGACTTGAAGAATTTTGAAGGATTTTTCTTCAATTGTGTGCACATTTGTAAAGATTTTGTGGGATGTTTCCGAAATTTGGGAGGGTTTTGAGAAGATATAGAGAATTTTGCGGGATATTTCTGGAATTTTGTGGGATGTTTGTGGAATTTGGTGGGATTTGTCTGGAATTTTGTGGGATTCTGAGGAGACTTGAAGAATTTTAAGGGAATTTTTCCTAGATTGTGTGGAAATTTGTGAAGATTTTGTGGGATGTTTCTGGAATTTGGGAGGGTTTTGAGAAGATTTAGGGAATTTTGAGGGATTTATTTTTAATTTTGTCGATTTTTGGGGAATTTTGTGGGATTTATTTTTAATTTTGTCGATTTTTGGGGAATTTTGTGGGATATTGAGGAGACTTGAAGAATTTTGAGAGATTTTTCCTAGATTGTGTGGAAATTTTAAATGATTTTGTGGGATGTTTCCGGAATTTGGTAGGGTTTTGAGAAGTTTTAAGGCATTTTCTGGGATGTTCGTGGAATTTTGTGGGATTTTTCTGGAATTCTGAGGCATTTTGAGAATATTTAAATAATTTTGTGGGATTTTTCTTACATTTTGTGGGAATTGGAGGAGATTTTGTGGATGTTTCTGGAATTTGGTGGAGTTTTGAGAAGAATTAGGGAATTTTGTGGGATTTTTCTGCAACTTCGATGGATTTTCATAGAATTTTGAGGGATTTTTATTGAATTTTGTGGGATTTCTCTTAGATTTCGTGGAGATTTGTGGAGATATTGTGGGATATTTCTAAAATTTGGTGGGGTTTTGAGAAGATTCAGGAACTTTTTAGGCAGTTTTCCACAATTTCATGGGATTTTGAGATTTTGTGGGCTGTTTCTGTAATTTTGTGGAATTTTGAGGAGACATGATAATTTTGTGGGATTTTTCTGATTTTGTGGAAATTTGTATAGATTTTTTTGGATTTTTCTGGAATTTTGTGGGATTTTTGTGGAATTTGGTGGGATTTTGAGGAGACATGAAGAATTTTGAGGTATTTTTCTAGGATGTGTGGAAATTTGTAATGATTTTGTGGGATGTTTCTGGAAATAGGTAGCGTTTTGAGAGAAGAATAATGATTTTGTGGGATGTTTCTGGAAATAGGTAGCGTTTTGAGAGAAGAATTAGGAAATTTTGTGGCATTTTTCTGCAATTTCCTTGCATTTTTCTGCAATTTCTTGGGATATGGAGGAGATTTTCTGGGATGATTCTAGAATTTTGTGGGATTTTTGTGGAATTTTGTAAGATTTTGAGGAGACTTGAAGTATTTTGAGGTTTATTTCTTAGATTTTGTGAAATTTTGTGGAGATTTTGTGGGATGTTTCTAGAATTTCGTGGGATTTTTCTTCAATTTTGTGAGATTTTTCTGTATTTTTGTGGGAATTTGAGGAGTGTTTGAGGGATTTTTCTGGAATTTTGAGGGATTTTTGAGAAATTTTTAGGGATTTTGAGAAGACATGGTAAATTTTGGGGATTTTTCTTAGATTTTGTGGAAACTGGAGATTTTTTGTTAATGTTTCTGGAATTTCGTAGAATTTTGAGAAGATTTAGGCGATTTTCTGAGATTTTTCTGTAATTTTGTTGGATTTTCTAAAATTTTGTGGGATTTTTCTGGAATTTTTAGGAAATTGGAGGTTTTGTGTGATGTTTCTGGAATTTGGTAGGGTTTTGAGAAGATTTAGGGAATTTTGTAGGATTTTTCTTTAATTTTGTGATATGTTTCTGGAATTTTCAGGATTTTGAGAGGGTTTGGGGAATTTTGTGGATTTTTTCTGGAATTTTGCAGGATTTTGAGAACATTTGGGGTAATTTTTATGAAGATTTTGATGAAAAAAACAGGGAATAAAAAAGGAATAACACTGCTGAAATTTCGGTAAACAAAGATGAAAAGCAAAACCATCCAAAGGGACTTAAACTCCGTGCTAAATCCGCATGGTTTGTCCTAGCATCAGCCAAATGGGGTTAAAATCATCCTAAGGGCTCCAAAGTGCAACCAGAAAGGCGTAAAAATGCCCAAACTGGTGTAAAACCCACTCAAAATGGCCTAAAATCACCCTTGAATCTCCCAAATGGGTGCAAGATCCACCCTGAAAGTCACTGGTTTTGCCTCAAATCACCCAAAAGGCCCCAGCATCCCCCAACCTGGCCTGAAACGCCCAAAAGGGATCTAAAATCACCCGAAAAGGGCTCAGTTCGACCGGCACCGGGACTGGGAGCGAGACCAAGATTGAGACTGAGACCGAGACTGAGGCCTAGAGCGGGCCTGAGACTGGGACTGGATCCGGCACCGGCACCGAGACTGACATTGCTCCAGGACTGGGACTGAGACCGGGACTGGCACTGCTCCGTGATTGAGATCGACACCGGGACCGGAATCGGCTCCGGGAGTGCCCCGGGACTGCTCCAAGACTGAGACCGAGGCCAGCACAGGGACTGGGATCAACACCAAGAGTGATCCGAAACCGAGACCGAGACCAGAATTGGGATCAGCACTGGGATCACTCCAGGACTAGCACTGGGATCAGCACCGGGATCACTCCAGGACCAACACTGACACTGGGACAGGAACTGCTCCGAGGCCAAGACTGAGACCAGGACTGAAACCAGCACTGGCACCGGCACTGAGACTGGCACTGCTCCGGGACCGAGACCAAGACCGGGACTGAGAGTGAGATGGGGACAAAGAGTGAGACTGGGAGCGCTCTGGGACCGACACTGGGACCACCACAGCTCCGGGACAGAGATCGACACCGGGACCGGAATCAGCTCTGGGATCGCTCTGGGACAACCGCGTTCACTCTGGGCAATTTTGGAGCTGCCTCCAGGCGAGACTGGGGAGGGCTGGGAGGTACTGGGAGTGAAGTGGGAGGGAACTGGGAGGGAACTGGGAGGGAGCCCTGGGCAAGGCGGGACCGCCTCGGTTCGCATCGTTCCAGTGCAGCCATCCCAGTCCATGTGGTCCCGGTCCATGTGATCCCAATCTCTGGTGCTGATCCATACAGCCCCGGTCTCTGCAATCCCAGTCTGTGCAATCCCAGTCTGTGCAATCCCAGCCTATGGATCCCAGTCTGTGTGGTCCTGCATGGCACACACTCTAAGAGTCTGGAATTCCAGTTGCCAGCATGGAAAAGAAGTTCCTGCCCTTGAAGGAAAAGCTCTTGAGAAGAGGCCGAGAGCCAAGTGCAGCAAGATCTTACAGTGACATTTCCCTGCCAACCCCCAGAACTTCACCCATGCTTGTTGTAGCTCCTGGATTGGGAATTAAATCAGGGCAGGGTCTCTGGTGGGAGCTGCCCTGGGTGCAGGGAGACGCTGATGTTAGCGTTCAGGAACACACATAATCACAGATTGAATATATGCAGGTGCTTTATTGAAGCACGCAGGAACTAGGGGTATCAGCAACCCAAATCTAGTTCCATTGTCTTTGTCCAAAATGCACATATTTATACAATTTCAGCTGAAGCAGTAATCACTATAACTACCTTATCAATATTGCTTCATTAATATTGCTTGATTAGCTTTATCAAGATTGCTTCATGAGAGTTAGCTCATCCTTGTACGAACACGTACAAATCTTATCTCTGGGTGGGTATCTTGGAATCCCCAAGTACCAGTTCCCATTACTATAAACATTTCAGCTTGCTAGACCATCCCCAATAACAGACATTCTTGCAGCCCACTTCTTCATGGTTTTAAGAAACATTTGCAGAAACATTTAACCCCATAGTAACATATTTCTCCCCTTTGAAAGTATTTCACTTTACTAGAATCAATGGAATGCTTTCACTATATAGAGTCTTTTACCTCTGAGTTTATACTTGATGTTCATTTTTGAATCTACAGTTTTCGTAAGCATTGTTACACTCTGGAGGACTTGGAGATGACAAATGCGGATGTGGATCTCTGTCCCGTGTCAGTGCCTTTATTATTTTCTGGTTCCAGGATACTCTTTTTTTTATCTCTCCTTTCACAACTGCATAGATTAACCAGATTGCTAAGAACACAATCAGTAGGATTATCAGACTCTCAAGAATAGATTTGATCCATTAGCTCACATTCCATCCCAACCCGTCAAAAATTTTATCTAACTTGTGGTCAGATCTTCCCACTCTTTCTGTGCTTCATGTTCTATTGGTTTTAATTGATTAATGTCGTGTTCTACATCTGCAGTTCCATTTGGGATGTGGATGCAGCAGTGATCAATTTGTCCTTTTAGGTACCCACATACTCCGTGTTCTTTCAGCAATAAAATATCTAAAGCCAATCTGTTTTGCAGGGTCATTTTAGTCATGGCTTGTAATTGTACATTTAGCTCTCTAAATACCTCTTTGGTAACTCTTGCCAATCTTTCTACCTGACCTGTAAGTTTGTACAACATCTTTCTATTATTGTAATTTGCTTTTGGACCAAACAAGGATTCCAGAGCTCACTCAAATTTTACACTGCTGGAGGGTTCCTGCCATTTTTCCTCATCTTCAGCTTTGTTTTCTTGAACTTCTCGTCTTGTCCTTATTTGCAGAAGTTCATGTTCTCCTTTAAATGGGGACCTTTTCCAAATTGGGCATAATGTGGGGAGGCCTAAAGTAATCTTTTACTTTTCCACTTACAGGCAAATGTGTTGTCCAGGTGCCATCACTTGCTGCCCATACAAATTGGCCTGGAGTCTGAATTGTACTTCTGCTCCATACTACTTTTTGGATCACTTGTCCTATTTTGTCATTTATTTCACCTTGTTTGTGTTTGGTTCCTCTGCAGGCACATCCAATTCTCAGAGCTACCACTAGCGGTGGCATTTGTTTTATTTCTTCATCATCAGACATACAGTCATAAGTTTTGTTCCATACCCACCAATTCACTTTGTCTGCCTCCATTCTACTACTGCTTGCAGTGTTCCATACCCCTGGATCTGTTTCATTTTCAGAGCCTTCCCACTTAATGCACCAAGGGGTATCTGCCATATATTGGAATTTCTGAAGCACACTCCTTGACCATGCACTGTCTCAAGCTTCAATCTGATCTTTTCCTTCCTGTCATTTACACTTCTATTTTGATACTGGAATCTTTTCTTTTATAACCTTTGCTATCTTTTTATAACACCACCTATAATTTCCTAATCCCCCATACCAGCCTAGTTTTGGTTCATACTTTCCTCCATTTTCATGACAATCCCATATAGATGAATACTTTGGCATCACAGAATTTTCAAACACTGTCTTATTTCAGTACTCGTCATCTATTTGCAATACACAGCTCACATTTTCATTTTTATTCTTTTGTATTTCAGGTAATTTCAATGGTATAATTCCTCAATTTATTTGGTCTCCTGCTGCCTTTGGTATTGGAGACAGGCAGTTATTTTGGTGGTGATTTGCATGTAGGCAAAATCTTTAATTAATCTAATCATCACATTTTCTGCCTGAATGGTATTACAGACTTTTATCACTTGTGTTTCTGGCTGCACCCCCACATCCCTCTTCATTCTAAAATGAAGAGTTGCCAGCTGATCCTTTTGCATTTCACATCCTAAAGTAACATTGATTCCAACTGATGGCACTAAAGGCCATAAAATAATCAACATTGCAGTCACCAGCAACCTAGACATTTGAAACAATCAAACCCACTTTATCTGCAGCTTCGTTGGTCCTACAGTTTACACAGTCCACAGTGCAGGGGAAACCTTCTTCACTCTGGTGTAATTTATCCAGGGATCCAGTCCAGCTACTTTGACTCCTGTAAAGGTAGTTTACAGTACCTGATATGGTCCATTCCACCTTTCTTTTAATGGTTCTTTGTTCCAGCTTTTACCGTACACTTCATCTCCTGGGTGGATGTCATGAACTGGATTCTCAAGAGTCAGCGGCCTGTTCCACACAAAGGTGCTCCAAAGTCGAGCTAGAGCTTTTCCAAGAGACAGAACATAATTATACATCTCTTGCTTCCCTGTAACATGTACATTTGGATTAGGTTCAGGGGGTTCCTATGATTTCCCATACAATATCTCATAAGGACTGACTGACATCCCGCTTCTAGGCTTTATCCGAATCCTCAGCAGTGTTATAGGTAGAGCTTGTGGCCACTGCAATTTAGCCTCTTAGCATATTTTGCTGATTTGCCTCTTCAAGGTCTGATTCATCCTCTCTACCTGTCCACTGGATTGGGGTTTCCATGGTGTGGAGATCCCAAGCTATTCCCAGCAACCTACTCACCTCTCCCACTACCGTGGCTATGAAATGTGGGCCCCTATCTGATGATATTCCTAGAGGCACCTCAAATCTTGGAATGACTTCTTGCAGTAACCACTTGACTGTCTCCTTTGTTTGATTTGTGTGACAGGGAAGAGCTTCTGGCCATCCTGAAGGGAAGAGCTTCTGGCCATCCTGAAAATGTGTCAACCCCTACCAATAGATATTTGTATCCTCGAGTTCTTGGTAATTCTACAAAATCTACTTGCCAATAATCTCCTGGTTCTACTCCTACCCGAATTTTCCCCAATTGTGCCTGTTGTCTGGCCATTGGATTGTTCTTTAAGCAAATTTCACATTTTGGCATTACTGATTTTGCCATTGTTAACATCTGTACTGAAATTAAATTTCATTTTAACAATTTCACCAATGCCTCTGTACCCAATGACATTTGTTATGCTTAATTTGTAGAACTTCTCTCATTATCAAGGGGGGTACCACTACTTATCCCTGTGTGTAGTCACATACCACCCTTCTGAATTCTTCTGTGCATTCAGTGAGTGTCCCAGTTTCTCATCTTCTATTGAATATTTTGGTTCTGGAGGTAAATTGAATTGAGATACATGAGTTTTTAAAGGTATCAATGACGTTGCAGTTTGCACTTCTCAAGCAGCTTGTCGGGCTGTCCAGTCTGCTTTCTGATTTCTCTCATGAATTTTGGAGCTTCCTGATTGGTGAGCTTTGCAGTGTGCCGTGGCGGGGTTGATGACAGGGGTGCTGCGACTACCCTGAAGAAGCCGTCCTGAAAAGGACTGCCCAGGGGCACAGGCACATCCTCTGCCCAGCGAGTGATTTCAGCTCAGCGGCAGCGTGCAGGCAACGCGGAGAGAGAGACTAGAGAGCTGTATGGCATTCCACTGAGAAATAGCCTTTATTATAGCAGGGCCCTCAGCGATGTGAGCCAGTGACAGCAGCTCCCCTAACAGGGGAAAATCTGGGATATTTATAGGGAAGGAGAGGGGCGGGGGAAACTTGGATACATGTATCGGGGTGGATTGATAGGGAGGGAAACCAATGGGGTGTAACAAATTAACATGTTCAACTCAAAGGCCTCTGGGAGTGACACTTTTCCTCTTCACGAGATAAAATGTCTTGCCTAGGGAGAAGCTCTCCAGGGGAGAGCCAGGATTTTGAGGTTGGCTGGTTCTTCAGCCTCCACAGCAGTGCATAATTGCTACTTGCTCAGGCTTTTATACTGCTTTTATTAATTGCAGGACTGCATCTTGATGTTTAATGTATGTACCTTGAGAAGACAGCAGTCCTCTTTCTTTCCACAGTGCGCCATGTACATGCACCACTCCAAAAGTATTTTGAATCAGTCCAGATATTTACTTTTCACTCACCTTTATTTACCCTTCACTCACCTTTAATGCCCTGGTTAAAGCAACCAGTTCTTCTCGTTGGGCAGATGTGTTTGCTGGCAATGCCTTTGCCTCCACCACTGCACCTGTTGTTGTTACCGCATATCCAGCATATCTGGTCCCGTTCTCCACAAAACTGCTTCCATCTGTAAACAGCTCCCAGTCTGCCTGTTCCAGTGGGACGTCTTTTAAATCTGCTCTAGCCGAACAGGTGTGTTCCAGTTGTGGTACCTGGGAACAAATCTAGATGCAAGAGATTAGTTGTCTTTAGTGTGACATCATCCACCTCAGTCAGGATTACCTGGAATTTCATCATCCTGCTTGGAGATAGCCAATGGCCCCCCTTTTGTTCTAAAACAGTGGTCACCATGTGTGGCACGTAGACATCTATGTCTCTACCCATCGTGAGTTTCCTGGCTTCTTGTATCAGCATCACGGTGGCTGCAACTGCCCGCAGGCATGAAGGTCATCCAGCACTCACATTGTCAGGTTGTTTGGAGAAATAGCCTACCGTCCTTTTCCAGCTTCCCAAGCGTTGGGTCAGCACTCCCAGTGCTAGGTGTGATCTTTCATGCACAAACAGGTGAAAATCCTTGGATAAATCAGGCAATCCTAATGCCGGAGCTGTTGTCAATGCCTCTTTAAGTCTGAGGAAGGCCTCCTTCTGTGGTTTGCCCCAGGTAAACGGCTGTGTCTTCTGGGCTTCATACAGGGGTTTTGCAATTAGTCCATAGTCCATGATCCATAGGCAGCACCACCCTGTCATCCCAAGGAAAACTCACAGCTCATGCAGGTTCTGGGGTTCTGGAATGGCACAAATAGCTTGAATACGATTAGTACTCAGCTTACGTTGCCTTTGTGAGATTTCATATCCCAGGTAAATCACACTCTGCCAGGCAATTTGTGTCTTTTCCTTAGACACCTTATATCCTCCCATTCCCAGCTGATTTCAAATTTCAATTGTTACCTTTATGCAGGTTGTTTTCTCTTCTGTAGCTATTAGTATATCATCAACATACTGTAACAGCAGGTATTGTTCTCTCAGTACTTGCTCGTTCTCAGTCCAAATCTCCAGTTCCTTAGCTAGCAGGCTTCCAAATAGTGTTGGACTGTTCTTGTATCCTTGTGGGAGTCATGTTCAGGTGAGCTGAGTTTTCCTTCCATTTTATGGATTTTCTCACTCAAAGGCAAACAGTTTCCTACTTTCTTTGTCAAGGGGTATGCATGACAAGTTCGGCGGGAGAAATGCAGCACTCAATATGAATGATCAGCAAGTCTCATTTATTGGTAACTCTAAAACCACTTATATAGTATCAATAATTAGGCTCATACATAGTGCAAAAGCAAGCTCATTATTGGATATTTCATTTAAGGTCAACTCCACCTAATTCTACATTCCTGTGATCGCTCATCTATGCTGAATTCACATTCTTCTGATCACAGCATTCTATTCTCAGTTAACAGTTATCACTAAGGTCTTCCTAGCTTTGCAACATCTCACACTGACTGTACTCTATTGTCTAATTCTTTCCCAGCTAACTGCTGCATGGGAACATGACCTTTGCTCTCTAGCCATTCCTCTATATATGCAGAAAAAGGCATCTTTTAAATCAATTACAGTAAATCATTTATATTTCTCTTTTACAGATGTTAACAATGTGCAAGGATTAGCTACCACTGGGTAAGTATCTTTAGTTATTCTTTTTATTGCTCTCAAATCCTGTACTAGTCTGTATTGGTCAACACAGAAATTTGGGCTCTAGTGTTAACTACAGAAGTAATAGGTGCACATTTGGGACCCACTATTGCTGTGATGAGTATGTCTCCAGTTTTGTTATATCTAGTGAGCATTTTAAATATGACCAACCTTTGCCTCTCTGCTCACCCATGAGAGGCACAGTTCCCAGTTTCCCTGATTCTAAGGCTGTTTGAGCTCCACTCCCAGAAGCTGAGAAGGAGACTGCTTTGGCTCACAGCCCAGAGCCTGCGGAGGTGTGCTGGGTTATACAGTGGGGCATTTGATACAATGAACTTGGGACAGTGCCAATTAGAAATGACTCAACTAAACTTTTAAGTGATAAGCCATCCATTACTTTCCTGGGGACCCCCTCCTTTATCTCTAGTGACCACCAATACTGGCGGTTAGAGATTTGTTTTTGCTTTTTTGGGTTTTCGTTAAGAGAACCAATGTATCAACACCCTTTGCTTCCTCTGATTTTTCTTCTGGGATTTTTACAGGTTCATAATTTCTACTGTAATTAGCTCTTTTGCAACTTTGCTCCAAGTCCAAATTTTATGGTTTCTAGCACAAGAACACAATTGTGAACCTGTCGGCTGAGAGGGGGTAGTGAAGGGAGTAAACCCAAGATCAGTGGAACAAGGTCAATCAGTCGGGTTCCCAAGAAATCTATCCAGTCTATCTACACGGGTTATAGCTGCTAGGGTTTTGTTTTTTGTTTTTTGTTTTTTTTGAGGAAAGTTGCTGTAGGTTTAAGTGATTCTGGAAGGCCTTGAATTAAAGGGGTCATAATTTCAGTTTTCACAGGTAACAACAATGGTGACTCATAGCCAGCAATTAATTTTCTTTTGTGTATCATTTTCAAGCTGGCAGCTTTGTGAATGTTTTCCAGTAGTTGGTTGGGTGTACCAACTATAGCTATAGGGTCCCCCATTTCCAAGGGATTAAGCCCCTCTGCCCAATAAGCTGCCTGCTGAGTTAGGGACCATGGGTTACGTCTGTCTCCTGTTGTTAAGAAGACTCCATGTCCCCAGTACCCACTGGATTCCCGTTCTCTCAATCAAATTTGATCTCCAGTGAGAGACACTTGGAATACATATTCTGTCTCTGACTCGTGAGGAAGACGCCCATACTACCTTTTTTTCATTTTCTTTTTTTTTTTATTTTTAGTGGTTATACACGGATCAAGATCCTTAGCACTGATATAATTATATTCTGTTTTAATTAGAGGTTTCAAACTAGGACACCAGTGTTCCCCACAATTTAATCCAAGTTAGCTCCTTTGAGGGTAAATTTGATTAATGAGAGGGGTTTCCCCTCTCTGCTGTTTCTTTTAGCAAGTCAGCATTTTTTGAATTTTTATCATGGAGGGATGCTCAATGCAGAGTGATCTTACTCCTTCTTCGTCTAATTGTTTTTGCAAAATTTTAACTAGGTTTTGGAGGGTGTCTATTATAGCTCTTTCCTTGCTTCTTCGCTTAAAGTGAGTTTCTATAGCTGCTGTAAGACAAGCTCCCAAAACTGAGTACAGGGGTTTTTTTGCCTAGTTTAAATTTTGTTTCATGTTGTAAAAAAAACATACTCTATCAGTCACATTTTCCAAATTAAACCAATTATTAAGCACCAACTTTTTCCCTCCCGGAGAAGGTTTGCCATTGTGTTTTGCTAACAGAGCATAAAATGCAGCTTTAACTTCTGCACTGCCATTTTCAGTCATTTTTACAAAGGGAAAACCACTACAGGGAGGTATAAACTTCAATTATACACACACACACAGCTTTTTGCTTCCATGAATGGGTGAAAAGACCAAATCTGCTTGGGAGGCACTCCTTCAGTTTAAAATTCTGATTGTCTCTTTGCTACACCAAGCAGTCAAAATTCATAGAAACGACAACAACAAAAAAGTCCCACCCTTTTGCGCTAAGAGCTCTTTTGCGAAATTCTGCAGACAGAGCCCTCAAGTGAGTGTGGCGTACTTTTCATCTCGGTGTGTGCAGTTTGCGGGAAATTCGAGTCGCCCCCCCTTGCTTTCTAGACACTGCTCACTCTTTTGGGAGTGTCGGGCTAGGTGCGGCTGGAGCGAGACATCCTTCCCCTAATACAGACTGCACAACAAACCTGCAGCCCCCTCTGTCTGGGACTACAGTTTAAATGTCACAATTCGCTAATGTAACTGGGACTCGTGAGAGGTTCATTTGATCCCAGAGTGCAAAGAGGGCACAAGGGATTTCAGTTTAAATCACAACAATAATGTACCTTTATTTTAGTCCCAACAAAAGTTATGCAATAGAGGAGAGGAAGAGAGAGAGGGAGAGATAAAGAAAACAAAGTAAAGAGAGAGGAGGTTATAGCTACCAACAGAAGAGACAGCGTTGCTGGGGTCTTTTTCCATGGGGAGATCTCGCTGAAATTAACTTAGTCTTATGTAATTCTTCCCCAAAGTTACCTTGTTTCCAATGTGATAGTAAGCACCCCAAAGGAGAAGTACCAGGTATGGGACCATTGCTGCCCAAAATCCCTTTAAGTTTCTCCCTGCAACGCTTTCGCAGTCATCTGACGGACAGCACCTAGGCAATACCAACAGGAATTCCTTTAGCCCAACCAAGCGCAGCTTTCACTGCGTCTTACTGGCAACCACCCAGACCAAGTAAAGCTCCTTACCTTTCTCTCCCAGGGATGTTGTGAGCACAGAGATGGTCACAGCTGATGGGGTCCCCGAGAATCCCTTGGTGCTGGCTGGAGCGTGATCGGGTCACAAGTTCGCTCAGCAGCACTCAAAAGGTCTCATCTGGGGTTGCCAAACTGTTAGCATTCAGGAACACACATAATCACAGATTGATTATATGAAGGTGCTTTATTAAGAGCTCTGGGTGTCAGGGGTACACATACCCAAATCTGACCCATCTTGGTTTTGAGTTGAACATGTTTTCATACTCTATCATTATATAACTTACATATTAATTATTAAACTTACATTGTTCTATTGTAAGCATTGTTTTTACCCAAGCATGGATTTCTCTTGATCCCCTCCCAGCCCCCTAACATTGTTCCTCATGTTCTTTAAACAATAATTATATCTAATCACATCTAACAATTGTATCATTTATCATATATTCACTACACAGGCGCAGTTTGACCTGATCTTTAGCAAGTACAAGGCCTAACATTTCCCAGGGCCTACTTTTCCCAGGGCTTTCCAAACCTAACTTTCTTTCTAAGTCCCTGAATATTCTAAAATTTTAGAACCTTTTACTATCAACTCCACAGTCTCCACCCACCCACCAGCAATCACAGAACTCCAGCCAGTCTCGCTCCCCCCACAGCCTTTTCTGGCCTGGGAGAGAGGAGGCTGAACCGGAGCCCTGTTATCTCTTCAAAAGCCAGAAACCAAAGAGAAAGAGAAATTCCCGTGCTTAAGATTTAAAGGGTGATGTTCACAGGTTGATGTCACTTTTAAATGGGCAAAACTACTGTCTGTTCTCAGAAATGGCCAGGTATTGGCCAGGACAAAAAAAAACCATCAGCCACCAGCAACCTTAACTTCCTTAGTTATTTCTCTTTTTTTCTTAAATGTCAATCTAAAACACACTAGCACAAGTGACAGCCCCAGTGTTCTCCTCTCTGTGACACCACAGCAGTGACAGCCCCAATTTCCTCCTCTCTCTGACACCTGTTGTGGTTTTAAAGCATTAGTTTAAAAATCACTGGAAAACTTAGTCATTTTTTCCTGTGAGATGTGGATTATGAGAAGGGCAAAAGAAGCTTAAAACTTAAAAGGAATAGAGTAATTTTATTAACACAACTACAAGGATAAGAAACCAGTAGAAAACTTCCAGAAACCCTTTTTCCCCACCACCCTGTGCTTCCCATCTTTGGGAATTGACAACATAGAGGAAAAAAAAATACCTGGTGGTTAAAACGGTCTTAATTTTGCTATAGTCTTTTCACCAGTTTCTGTAGAGAAAAAGAAGTTCTCTTTTGGCAATCTATGGATTTTTCACCAGAAAACCATTTCCTCATGGCTTCCCATTGCTCTGATGCCAGTCACCCAGAAAACTCTGCCATCAGTCCTTTCTTCCCATTTCACACCACTCTGAGGTGTGTTCGTGGGCCGTGATTCAAGGGTTGTCATTTGAAGGATGAGATCTTCAAAGTTCTCTTCATTTGTCTCTGTGACCATCTCTGAAAACAGAAATTTTTGCTTTGTCTCTTAAGAGCCACAAATCTTCAACAACTCTCACTTCTCCTTTTCTCTTCCAGCATCTTACAGGATTACAACAACTTTACCATTTACTCAGCTTTATCAATGAATTATTTTTGCTCCCATCTACACTTTGAAATACTCCATTCCCCCAAAAATACTGTTTCAGGAATGAAAGGAGTTGTTTCAGAACATCATTGTCCCTCTCCATAGCTTGAACAAAAGAAAACTTCAGCTTATTCAGGCATCTCCTTATTCTCTTCCCATCTGAGCGTTAATTCCTTCCCTCACTGCCTTTGATAGTTGATGCTGTCTCTTTACGTGTTGACCCCTCTCTCTTCCCCTCTCTCAGGAAAAAGATTAATCTGCAAGTCTCATCTGGCTAGTGAAAGGGCTAAACTCCTGCCCAGGCCTTGGGGATGGTGCCATGATCTCTGACGGGGCAGGGGCTGGAGCTGTTTGCCATGGAAGATTTTTGGTAGCTGCTCTGGAGGAGTGTGCCACTGTCTCAGCACGCCGCAGCTCAAGAGCTTTCCCTCCCCTTCCTCGGCAGTCTCTGTTGAAAGCCAGCAGCATCAGAAACTGCAGCCCAGACAGGAAGCAGCCTGGCCCGGCAGCCACGCTGCACAAGGCTCAGCGAGCCCTGCAAGGGCTTCAGCCCCTCTGGGAAGGGGCTCCTGTCACTTCACAGTCTCCATCCACCACCAGGAACCGCAGAACTCTGGCCAGCCCCACTCCCCCCGCGGCCTTGTCTGGCCTGGAGCCGTGGAGGCTGAACTGGAGCCCTGTTAATTCTTCAAAAGCCAGAAACCAAAGAGAAAGAGAAATTCCCAGGCTTAAGTTTTATGGGGTGGTGTTCACAGGTTGATGTCACTTTTCAATGGTCAAAACTACTGTCAATTCTCAGAAATGGCCAGGTACTGTTCCGGACAAAAAAATCCCATCAGCCACCAGCAACCTTAACTTCCTTAGCTGTTTCTCTTTTTATCTTAAATGTCAATCTATCACACACCACAGCAGTGACAGCCCCAGTGTTCCCCTCTCTGTGACACCATAGCAGTGATAGCCCCAATCTCCTTCTCTCTGTGACACCACAGCAGGGACAGCCTCCATTTTCTCCTCTCAGTGACACCCGCTATGAGCAAAGCAGGAAGCACAGTGCCTGTGGGAAAGCAGGCTGCATATCTTTCTCAGTTTCACCTGAGAAAGTGGCCTTGGAAATCATAAGGAGGAATTAAAACAATCCTCAGAGATAGAAGACAGCCTTGCAGGTGCTGTTTGTCAGTTTCTTGCTTTCTTGCAAGAGAAGGTCGAGGAGTGGTATACCCACTGACCAATGACAGTGTTGTGTTTGTTTGCTAACCAATAAGTTTTACCTTTCTGGACTTTCACATATTGGTCTATAAAAGATGATCTAAGGTAATTAAACTCACTTTCCTTTTCAGCTCATAAGAGAGTCCATGTCATGCTTCTTGTCGTTCCAAATAGCGTGACAGTAACCCCCCAAAAATGCACCAAAAATGGGGAACTCCCCCTTGAATACAAGGGATTTTGGGGATTTTTTTTCCCAAAAGCAGCAGGTTCTCCGGGGCGGCATGGGAGGAGCGACCCCCTCCACCGTCTGCGGAGGCAGTGGAGAGGACAAAAAGGGGTTTTTAGGGAAATTACTGGAATTTGGGGGGATTTGGTGAATTTTAGGGAATTTGGGGATTATTGGATGTCGGGGG